AGTTTTGAAAAAATATTTAACTTATTGGTAATTTATCTATAAGACTTTGGCAAGAGTTTTTACTGAATAAATAACTGATTTCTGTTAGATCTCAAGCAACTAACTGATTATTTAAAACTGTAAATGATATCAGGACAATAGACTTTCTTTATATTATATTTATAACTGTATGTTTTTATGAATATATTCATATGCATACACAAACTCTTCATAGCGAATTTCAACATGCTTTTTTTTCTTGTTATATTTTAAGACTTAATTTTATTTTATATTTTAGAAGACTTCTCTTCCTTACTGTGATGATAATGCATTGTGGAAATGCTATTTCTGTGATAAAAATAAGTGTGCTGAATGTATTGTTCAATGTAACAAATGTGAAAATTTGTATTGCAAAACCTGTTCTATAATTGTGTAAGTTCCTTTTTTTATATATTCATTATTTAAAATTAGTTAATAATTAGAACTATTTTTATTTCAGATACGATCAACCAGATATTTCACATTTATGTTTGTCATGTGTATAAAACATCGATTCGAATGCATAGTTAATACCTTATTGCTTTAGAGCATGAATTATTTTAATAATTTAAGTCTACTCCGTCTATTATATTTTAATATTTATTGAAGTTTGTACAACTATATTATGATACTTATAATGTTTAAAGAAAATTAAATAAAAAATATTTATTAACAAATTAAAGTAACATGCTTTTCAAAAATATAATCTGAAAAATTTATTTGTGTAAATTTACAATTCATAGTTGTTGTTCACAAAAATAAGCTTTATTTTGATACAAGTATTTTTGTTTTCAAGATTTATGAAAATTTCGAATTATTGCTTATTATTCTTTGATTTAACTTTTATTTATTAAAAATACAACTAATTCTTTTAACAATTATCATTTTTATGCAAATTATAAGTATGTTTGGGCACTAAACAGAAAACAATTCATTAAAAACTAAAAATGCCAATTACTTCATTAATTAATATTAGCAAATAATGTAATTTACTTTATCTATTCATAAACATAGTGAAAAATTAAAATTTCAATCCCGTTACATCTGATTAAAATAATTTCACTCTGTACCTCCAATTTTACTAATTTTATCTTTTGAAACAACAAATTTAACTCATAAATAATTGCATCCTATGTTTTAAAAGTCATGTATTCATTGAATTTATGTTTCTTTTATAAGACTGATATTAGGAATTTCGAAAATGAAATTTTTTTTACAGGAAAGGAAGGCATTCTTTGAAGAATGATCATTTTAGTAAGAAAGCTTTTTAATATTTGCTTGAGGTTTCTCAATATATAGGAGTAATAAAAATCAATCAAAGTATAATTAGAAAGTCGACAGAATATTTTTAAACACTATTTTTTCTTTTTATTGTTATTTTTAAATTTGACAAAGTTAATTTATCATGTGTAAATAAATACAGAATACAATAATTATACTTATTAATTGATAATTATAATAATAATTGTTATTATATAATTTTTTCTTATATTGAAATGCATTTCAATATACAGAAATTTTTAAATCATATTTATGATTCTTATCAATACTATTTTCATATCTGATAAGATTCATATTTGGAATTTAACTGGTATTATGATTTTCATATAGATCTGGAAGGTTTTTTCGACACTGAAGCATATATATCATATGTAATAAGGCATAAAGACCATTGTATTAAATAAATTAATAAACTATAGTTGTGGAACTTCTTGTACTGGAATTAAACATTCGAAAAATGAAAATAATCAATAATTAATAAAATTTGATCAATAATTAATAACAATTGTTTTAGATATTTCCCAATAGATTATTATAAAGCTTTAACTTTTATAATTCATATTTTTTAGACGGAATTAAAGAGCTTATAAATTTGGAATAAATTGAATTTTTTATATTAAATTTTGAAAAAAAAAATTTTTTGAAAATTAACAACCTCGAGCATTTGAAATAAATTTAAAATTTAAGAATTTTGGAAAGAATGTTTTTCAAACATGTCAAAAGTTCTTTATTTTGTGCATATTGGTACGGAACTATTACAAAGAAATGAATCAATTTTCTGAACAAAATACAAATATTAAAATTGCTTATTTGATGTATATAACATAATTTGAAATGCTCGTGTTTGGAAATTTTTCTTTATATTTTCGAAACCAAAGACCTGCCTATTCAGAAATTTAATCATAAAGTTATTAATTTCGTTAATATAAGTATAAAATGTCTTTGAATCATTCAAATCAAACGCTCCGTTCTCTCAAAAACTGAATGACCATTTTTTGGCTAGACCTGCCTTTGCCGAAAACTAATCAGCACTTCTTCCCATCAATAGGAATCGAATGTTTTTGGAATCATTCAAACTTTATTTATCTGCACATACATACATAACCATACATACATACATACATACATACATAACACATAAACACACATACATACATTATAGCATTCTATATCCTTCCCCCATGGGAGGACGAGAGATAAACAGAGGTATTATATGTGCACTATTGCGCGTACATAACGCACGGTCTATTTTTTGCAACTTAAATTAGTTTTTATAATTAAACCACTTCTCATAGGCCTATAATATTTTACAAGGCTCGGTTTGATCATCAGCTCTATTACCATGAGAAGCAAAGATAAAAGAAGAGTATGCGAAGTTTCATCAAAATCCCACAAGAATAAACCTGAGGGTTCCCTTGTGAGGCTGACTGATGGTATTATAATGAGGCGGTATTGAGTCCGGATTCCGGAATACCCAGACAAAAGACCTAGTTTGGGATGCATTCGCGCATACATCCATTTTTTCTAACATATCATCTTTATAAAGATGAATAAAATCTTCATTTTCGATTTTTTTTTTGCGATTACTACAATACTTACCCTATCGAAAATTAATAAATATAAATTTAAGTATATGTATATAAAAATAATTATTATTTAAAAACGGTATTTTTGCTTGAATGGATGTCATGACGTACAATCAGTCATGAAGAAAATAAATCATTAAACGTCAAAATACTGTACATATATATTTTGACGTTTCATGTTTTCTGTCGCTATCATTTTGTTGTTACACGATAGTACAGACAGATTATTTATTATACAATATATTGTTTCTTTATAAAGATCATATTTATTAAAAGCATCATTGAAATTTGAAACATATCGGCCCCACCCAGTGTTGCCATGTCTACAGTTTTAACTGTAGATCTACAGTTTTTTGGGAATGATCTCAGTTTTGCAGTTTTGGGCTCGAAATCTACAGTTTTTTTTGCTGAAGGTGCTAGCGCCGTTTATTTTATTTGTTATGCAGAACTTAGTGGCAGTTGCACTGAGTCAACTTCAACAAAACTACTATTGTTAAACTAGAGGTAATGGTCATTGATTATTTTAATAGTATACGCTAATATGAGAAACTTTATAGCTCATGCTTGACTGTCAACGCAAAGAAAAACGGCGCGACTAGCGGCGAAAAGCGAAATGCTATCCGTTTATCTCTCGTTAACTAACCAACCTTTCTGTTGTTAAATATTTTCCTTCTGTAAGTTATTTCTTGTATCTGTAAGTCAATCTAAATCGATTTGTCGACACAAAAAATAGATTGTTATAATTAAAGTTGAAAACTGGTTTGTTAATGCGTTGGAAACATATTGTTATCAAATAGTCATATTTTCAACATTTACGAATGTAATATATAATCTAAACTAGTGGGGTGTATGCATACATGGCATCGTGCCTTAAGGCAAATTGCTGGAACTTCCCGTACCGTAACAAAATGATCGAGGAATATTAAATGTTTTAAAATAGATTATTATAAATATTGTAACATTGTCTTTTTATATTTAAAAAAATTATATAAAAATAATTGGAAATTTGAAATTATTTGTTTAGAGTATATTAAACAGAATTAAAATAAAAATCTGAATTATTTTCGATATACAAAAAAAAATTTTTTTTGAAAAAAAAATTAAAAAGAAAAATTTTGAAGCAAATTTTTTTTTCCAAAAGCAATTATTCTGTTAAAACAAGCAGAAAGTTTTTGGAATCATCTAAATCGGACGCTTAGTTCTCTCAAAAACTGCAATTTTTTGCACATTTAACTCTGTATCTTCGAAACCGCTAGACCTGCCTTTGCCAAAAACTAATCACCCCTTCTCCCCGTCATTACGAATTGAATGTTTTTGGGATCATTCAAATCGGACGCTCCGATTTCTCAAAAACTCGATTTCTATTTTCTGCACTCTTTGTTCCGTATCTCCTAATCGGCTGGATCTGCCTTTGCCAAAAACTAATCAGCACATCTCCCTATCAATAGGAGTCGAATGTATTTTGAACCATTCAAATCGGTTGATCCGTGCGCCCGAAAACGAGGACAAAAAATTGTATCCATACATATATACACACTCAAACACACACACACACACACATACCATTTTTTGTGAGGTATGCCAAAATGTTCATAAACCTTCAAAACGTCGAGAAATGTAAAATTTTCAATTTCGATTTTCGGCCCATTACAATAACTTACCCTACGGAATGTTAATAACCAATATTTTAGATAAAATTATTCATTGCATTTTGTTTCGTTTAATACTCAACTAGTTTAAGTTTGATTCAAATCTACCTTTATTAATAATAACATGAAATAACAAATAATTAATGAAGTATACAATATATTGTGTAAGCTACGATGAAAAACTTATATTCAAGAATTATCGCTTTTTGATAGGCATCGATGTTTGGGATGAATGAATATAACAAAACCGTTAGAGATCATTATTGCTTTCAACTTTTTTTTTTCAAAAATACCACTAATGTTATATTTTGTTAGTTGCTATGAATATTCTATTATAACTATATAATATTACCATCATTTAATGATAAAACTGTAGATTTACAGTTTTTCAATTTGAATCTACAGTTTTCTACAGTTTTTTTTTGGTCTATCTACAGTTTTTCTCTATGGTGGACCTGGCAACACTGATTGGCATTATCGTGGCGCTTGTTCAGTTGAAGGCTGTGCTTGTATATTTACTTTATCCATTTTTAAAAATATTTTTCTACTAAAATAATTAAAATGCCGACAAAAAATAAAGTTTGCATCGTTGGGTCTGGAAACTGGTAAGCAGCATTCAATTTATAACCTTCAATTACAATACCGGTTTATATAATTTGTTTCTATTATTATTGTTTTTATTATCAGGGGCTCAGCTATTGCTAAAATTGTTGGACATAATTGTGCCAAATTATCTCATTTTGAAGATCAAGTTACTATGTATGTATATGAGGAAATGATAAATGGAAAAAAATTAACTGAAATCATAAACGAAACTCATGAAAATGTGAAATATTTGCCAGGTCATAAACTTCCAACTAACGTGGTAAGTATTTTATTTATTTATTATTATTTTTGTGGTTAAAATATATTTTATCTTTGTTTTCTTGTGCAATTGACCTTCAAACTTCTTTCATGAATTCAATCAACATCCAATTGAATGTTTTTATGTACTTTCTAAACATATTTTTGTGTGCATTCATTTCCTATATATGAAATATTTATTTTTATCTAAAATTATCTTTATCTTTTTGATGTACTACCTTTTTGATGTGTTATATAAATTTAAATATCAATATTTTCATCTTATCTTCTAATTTACCTTTATGACTTGAACTTTGTACCTCATATCATTTGTATCTCATAAATTATCTTGATAGAAGTTAATTTATTTATGTAAATATTTGTTGTTTTACAAAGTATATATGTGGATAAAAGAAATAATCTTTTATATAGGATTATAATGTAACTAATAATATATTGATTTTTATATTCTTATAATTATATTTTTATAATATTATATTTATACAAGTAACCACGCATAACACGGTAGATACATTCCAAAAAAACTAGTGTTTTATGCTAATCCGTGTTATACGGGACAAGAAACTAGTACAAAAGAAAGGGTTACATTCCAAGAATTCAAAAAAACATGCTATATATCATGAATGTATAATAAATATTATTACATTTATTCATTGTTTTAGGAAGTAATAATAATTAATTCAAGTAAGAGCTTTCCAACATGATCCTTTTTTTGCAAGATTTACCTCCAGATCCGTGCATTATTTTTTGCAAAAACATATTTGCGATTACTTGCTTTTAGTGAAAAGTTATTTATATATTTACCACATGCAAAGTTATCTTTACTAAAATTTTATGCTCATTTTATTTAAAGGACCTTTGTTTAAGACTAATTGATTGTTCGGATAATCTTAGATTTTTTTTTTGATAGAACTTAATGAATATGAAATTAGTTATCTTTTGCATTAGTTTAATCACATTTATTATGCTATTGCACGGCGATTTTACTAATTTTAGATTGAATAAAGTTTGATTTTGAAGAGTTTTACTACATTTCCTATTTTATTAGGGTTTTGCTCAATTTTTAAACTGTGTTAGAGCGAATCCGTGTTCTGGAAGTACCTTGTTATGTTGGGGTTACCTGTATTTTCATATCCAATTTTTATAAGTGTCGTTTTTGAATATCCATGGATGTTATATCAACATGTTTTTGCAAATGCTTAACTTGCTACTTTTCTGCCTCAGGTTGCGGGTTTCATATTTCAGACTCTGTATTGTAAACCATTGGTTACTTGGAAAAGATAAATATTTAAATTTCAATTTAAAATTGTAAATAAAATCATGTTTAAAGAAAGTACGCGGCATGCATCATCACGTTATAGTTCATTTATGTTATTATTTTTGTGTCACTGTTATTATTTTATTTGATTTTAATTTTTTTCATTTTATGTTCAATTTATTGTATTTTTTTGTATTATTTCATTTTTTTTGCATCTTATCAATTTTGTAAATAAGACATTAAAGTCTTGATTAACAAAAATAAATTATAACAAAAACAAAATGTTTAAAGATGTTTCAGTTACCATTGCAAACTCTATTGGGAACATTATTTTCAGTTTTTCATAATTTATTCAGAAGACATCTGTGCATTTTAAAGCTTTAACAATTAATAATAGTAATAACTTGTTCATATACTAATTTGATGTTTTATTTTTAAGATTGCTGTACCAGATGTAGTTGCAGCTGCTCGAGAAGCTGACATTTTAATTTTTGTTGTTCCTCATCAATTTGTCAGATCCTTGTGTGCAACTTTATTAGGTAATTGTATTAATTGATATATATTCTATAATTGACATATATTGTATAAATATATAATTTCAGGAAAGATAAAACCCACTGCTGTTGCATTATCTTTAATAAAAGGTTTTGATCAAGCAGAAGGTGGTGGTATTGACCTCATATCTCACATTATCACAAGACATTTAAAGGTATTTAAAATACTCTGGAAATAATATTATATACAATAGAAATTTAGCTCTAAATTTCCAAATAGAAATGTTTAAATTATAAGTGTTGATTACCACATGTTTTACTTTTTTTCAATAATAATATATATTTTAGTTCATATTTTTCTTCTAAATTCTTTTGATATTTATGCTTTAGATATTTTTTATTGTTAATAGAATATACTATTGATCTTTTATAAATGAAAAATTTTTCTACAGGTGCCATGTCATGTTTTAATGGGTGCAAATTTAGCTGGCGAAGTTGCAGATGAAAAATTCTGTGAAACCACAATTGGTTGCAGAGATAAACGTTTAGCACCTTTATTAAGAGATTTAATTCAAACTGATTATTTCCGTGTTGTTGTGGTTGATGATGAAGATGCTGTAGAAATTTGTGGAGCACTAAAGGTAATAACAAAACTTATTATAACAACAATAACCAAAATTTATTATGCTACGTAATGAGCTAAATTTATTTTTAGTAATGAATAATTATGTTTTTACATGAATATTAAGTTATTTGAGAAGAATAAATTCTAATACATTTTATACCATCCTTAATAGAACATAGTAGCGTGTGGTGCAGGGTTTGTAGATGGTATGAATCTTGGAGATAACACCAAGGCAGCAGTTATTCGTCTTGGTTTAATGGAAATGATTCGTTTTGTTGATGTTTTCTATCCAGGAAGTAAACTTTCTACTTTCTTTGAATCTTGCGGTGTGGCTGATTTAGTTACTACATGTTATGGTAAGCTAGAAATATATAATACGATTTAGGTTCCTAAAAATTTTAATTCATTTCACATGTAACTGTGTACAAAACTCATATTTACAAATGGTATTTTAATAATATATAATTTAATTTAGGATTATTAATGATAATACTATAATTAGATAAAAATATGATTATGATGAACTATAGATGAATAATAAATTATTTATTTTTAACCTTTCCTGTACAAGGAGTCATTCCATATTCTTTAAGCTTAAAAATAATTATAAATGAAAAATTGAATAATCCTTTTTGTAAAAAAAGATGCTTTTAATTCTGAAACATGAAATCATAAATTATATTAACTATTCGGTATATTTATATTCATATGTGTGTGAATGGTTGCACATAAGTGTCCTTTTCTTTGGTTTTTATTTTATAAATTTTATAATAAATTTTCAGGTGGCAGAAATCGTAGAGTTTCTGAAGCATTTGTGAAAACAGGTAAATCATTGAAACAATTAGAAGATGAAATGTTAAATGGTCAAAAATTGCAAGGACCAATAACAGCGGAGGAAGTTAATTTTATGCTGAGAAATCGTGGCATGCAAGACAAGTATGTTATTATTTATTGGATTTTATTGTTATTTATTGGAATAATTTTATCCTTATATTACAAATTAATTTTTCATGGTTTTTATCTTTAGAAATGTTTTTTTTTAACAATGTATTAATTTAAATTTTGAAAAACAATAACAAGACAAACTGGTTCATACTGGTTGTCTTGGTCAACATTTTTGGTATTGTAAATTATTTTTGTAATACATATTTAAATTAATCATTTCAGATTTCCTTTGTTTACTGCTGTTCATAAAATTTGCACTGGAGATATGGATGTTAAAGAATTTCTTAATTGTATAAGGAGCCACCCGGAACACATGTAAGTGCCTGCTTTATAAAATATAAAATCAGATTTAAAATGCTTCTCAGATGGTAAATATTTAGTAATGTTCTTTTACATGAAGCATAAGTGAGAGTTTGCTAGTTTGTTTTGATTATTTTGCATGCTTTTCATAATTAGTAATTTGAAAAAGATATACACATAATAATCATCTTAAAAATACTAGTTTTTTTACTTATATTTCTATGATCGTTAAAACTACAGACTATTGTTAGCTTTTAAATTATGTAAATTTTAAATTACATGTTATCGCTATTTTAATTTTAAATATTAAATACTATATTGTAATGTTGATATCTATATATAGCCATTTTATTTAAATGTTTTGAATATTTTTTTAAATTATATATCCTTAAATGCTGGACCAACCATTGTAAAATATAATATTATAGATGATTATAAATTTGTTATAACTTAGGTAAATCTATATTTTTTTATACTTGTATCAATTGTTTAAATTATGGAAATGGTTAAGAACATGTTATTTTTAATGAAAATTTATTTTATGTCTGGAAATTTTTCCTACTTTTTATATATCTTCTACACAAGAAGTATTAATAAAATTGATTATTGTTATTAAATATGACATTACCCCTTTTTGTTTGGTTTTTATTTATTATTACTATCCTATACCTAACAAATTTACCATGTTTTATAATTTATGCATTTTCTAAATCTTTGTAAAGTTTTGCTATTTATTATTTACCAAATTGGTTTGAGTTTTTCTATTAGAATCCTTTCCGAACTACACGCTTCCAATTGAAACTTATAAATTGTTAATCTGCTGCATTGCTTTGTTTATAATCATTGTTTCCCAAATACAGAATGGTGAATACTTAATTATTTTGATATCTTTGAGATTTTTTTAAATCTTAATTATTTTTGTTTTATGATTTAGAACAAATTTGGCTATAAGTTTAAAAATAGCTTCCAATATTTGAAACATTTTTGATAATTTATGTTTAAAAAGTATTTTACTTTTTCAGATTTGCACCATTTAACATCACATTATTTTGACATATTTGCTTGTGGTTTTTCGAATGATTTTATTTCCTTGATAACCCGAAGAAAATCCTATCCTAAAAAATCCCCACTTGTGTTTTCTTGCTTGGAATCAAGGTAATAGTGATTATCGTTTTACAAGTTTGTGTGCGTATTTGTGTAGAAATTAAATTTCTTATTATTTCTTCTTACACTTTGCATTTTTAAATAAAAATATAATATAATTTTTGTTTTTAGGCTGAAAGGTGCAGCACCGAAATCTTCTCTTTAATATATATGTAGCAATTTATTGAAACCAGGTCAGGTTGATTTGTACATAATATAAGTAATGATTGTATATTTTATACTATTTTATATGAATTTATAGCAATATAATAAGATTTTTATACAATTTTATAATTTGGGTAGTATTTTATGAATTAGTTGATATACTTCACTTAAATATGTATCTTACTTTTAACATGGGTGGTTTTGGTTTTGGTTTCGAAATCAAATTGTTGGTGATGTGTTATTAGTGGTTGCATGTTTCTTTGTTAGTACATATTCTAGTCAATAAATTAATTATTTTCTAACAATTTGTTAAGTTTTCTTGAATATGTATCTTCTGCCTATTTTATATCATATTGATTTGTATTTTTTTCTTCTGTAACTAAATTCTAATGGTAGTATTGATAAATCTGTTGTTGCTGTTCTACTTACATGTTGAGTAAAAATAACGATTATTGTAATGAAATTGCATTAATGCACCTGCAATATTTTCTTGTGGTTCTTTTTTCTTTCTTTATTCATGTTTATTTCGGTTATCTAAAATTTAGAATCAAATATATTGCATAGTTCGTTCATAATATTAAAATATTAGTTTGATAAATACATACTTATTATTTTCCGTGTTTATCCTTTGTGTTAATTCAAGGTTCTCCATCTAAAAACATATTCTAATTAATGTTCAAATAAATTCTTATTTTTATGTATTATTTTCCATCAATTATATAAATGCTATTTGTGGTAGAAATATAAACATAAGTAAACTAATTAAAATTCCAACAAGATTGATCAAAATTTTTTCATTTGATGTACTATTCATGGAAACCTCTACTAATATATAACACTTAAACTGTTGTAATGATTCATACACAATTTTATTTTACTAATCTGTTCATATTTTAAAATGCATGAACAATTCAAAATAATTCAAAAGTATTTAATAACTGATATTGTATACAATTTGCTTCGGTTAATATTTATTTAACAACTAACTAATCAAGTTTTGTCTTCAATAAAGTAAATATTTTGTTGGTGAAGGATTATTTTAACATTTAGATTTTACTCATCAATTAATTTCTTTCCGAAGGATGTTTGTTTCCGTTTCAAATCATTCTGAATCGTTTGGGACCAAATTTGGAAACGTGTACATGTGTAAGCCAAAATTCGACACTTCGCCCACGTTTTCTGCAAAAGGCTGCACCGATTTCTAAACTTTGAAAGTTATTTGATGAAACTCAACAAGGACTGTCGTTATTAGTTTTGCGAAACGATAATAAGCCGATAAGTGTATAAAGTTTTGTCCACGATAAAATTAATTAAAATTTGAAATAGCCGCGACTTCAAAATTGTAACGTCACGAATTTAAAAGTTGGTAAACCTGAATATTATTTGATAAAGTTCATTGTTTACACATAATATCGGGAAGTTCGTACAACTTAACTTAAGACAAAATGCCATTAACGACTACTTATATTATAAATAAAGTTTCTTATTTCTGTGAAGTGATTATATAATTAAAAGTATAATTAAAATATAAATATACCTCATCTCTATCGGCAATAATATCTGTGTGTCGTGGGTGTTGTGCACGATTTTGAACTAGACGTTTTCTGACGCAGGAAGCCAGCAATCCTCCCCGGATTTTAGTATTGTTTCCAGTGACTAAACTGATTACGCATGACACGATAATAGTAACAAGTGCACCCAAAGGACTGTACCACAGGTAGGACACACGAAATAATGGAAATATTCGACTGGAATGATAAAATATATTGACATTAGCTTTGGTTGAATCTAATTTGAAAATTGGAAAGGAAATTTGAAAGGTATGAAACGTTTCAAAATGTGCTTATGTAAAAATTCTTTCGCCATTTTTTTTTTGTATTTAATCATATACAATGTATGCAACTGAAGCCGTTTTAAAATCAATGTTATATTTATACCTATGTTTGGAATTTCAAATTATATGAAATGCTCCTCATCGAACATTTCAAATGGTATATTTTTTCAGGTCTTTACAAATGTGATTTTTTACAATTTATAAAAAAATACGATTGATGTCTTAAATTTGTAAAAAATTGACTGCAAAAGAGTAATGATTTGATAAAGGATTCTTAGATTTGGAAAAATCTCTATATTTGTTTATATAACTCAGCAGTATTTTGTAGATATTCTTCAATATTATGGAAAACTATTAGGACAGAGGTAAACATGCATGTTAAATTCAAATTTAATTTTAAATTATCATTTAATCGTTTGAGTGCGAATTGTCGAATTTTTGTGAGCAAATTCGATGATTCGCGCTGAAACGGTTAGAAAGTTTAATTGTAAATTAGTCATTTTTCACAGTTTCAAAAAAATATTAACAGACTTGATTTTTTTTTTAAATAAAATTGTAAGTTGGATTTTAAAAATCTTACCATTAGTTTATCAGAACTATATGTGAATATTCTAATATATATTATATATATTATTATATATTAAGATATTTGATCAACTTAGCGTTTGTGGTATGAGATAGTTGAATTGTTGACTATATATGCTACAGTAAAGTCCAACTATAATGTTAAAAAGCAGATTTAATTCTGTGGTATTAAAAATTATATTTGTTTTTGATTCGTGTGTTTAGTAAATAATATTATATACTAAATACACGAATTAAAAATAAATACATATTTACATGTATATGAAAATTATTATAAAGTTACCTTTCAACTAAAGTTTCTTCTTGTTTTGAGAACGTCGTGTTGTAATTATAATCACAGTCTTCTACATTGAATGATTTGGTTTTAAAATTGATGTGTCCTGAAGCAATGGCTGCTTGAGCATTCAAAGTTAACCAGGCCATGAAAAATAGTCCACTCACCAAACCTGTTATTGCTCCCTATAAAATGATAATGTTAATCAATTTTCATTAATCCATAACTGCAGATATGATTCTTTGTTCATTGTATAAATGTATGAGCAACTACCTAATGATATCAACAACTGCAAACCATGGTTTGCCTACTAATTAGAAGGTCATTTATACTTGTTTATCTATAGCAAGTAAGTAACCCCGGTGGTTATGCATTATTTTTGTATTATTATTATTATTATTATTATTAAATATCTTTTTAATAGTGATGCGATATATTTGAAGCAACGTCCCGTGAGGCTATTTTCATTTGAAATCATAATTTAGATCTGTTTTCAAGTAAAAATAATATCACTAGAACCTAGAAACCATAGCTAGAAACATTATGGTTACAAGGTTCTAAAACTCATACCACTTGCATTTTAACACTTGAGCTATAAACAAACCCATTGTAGATATATGAATAGAATTTTTTAATTATTTATGTAAATAAATTATGGGTTGTGAACAATGTAAAAGAAGTATATTCCAGAGATAAATGAGCAAATATATTTTATAGAATATTCAAGCAGTGGCGGATCCAGGTCACGGAGATCATGATCCCCAACCCCCCTGAGCTTGTCTTAAAACTTAGATAGAACACTAATTCAGCAATAAAATTACTTCATAATGATTTTATATGTATTTTGTTACCAAACACATTTTATAACTTCAATATGTAACTTTATAGACGTTCGGCGGAGTCAAAGACTCCTATTTAAGGATTTTCTTAACTTTACTTGTTTTTGAGGCATCGGGAACTATGAATTACGGGAAAGCTTTATGAATTGCTATCTTTTTGAATGTTAGTTGTGAAGATCTATTTAATAATTTTATACAAGACTTCTATTTATTTATTTTTTAGTAAAGTTTGATTCTTATCTTTTATTACCTTTTCGTTGACCCAATGTATGAGCATTCCGGCCGTAAAGACTCCCAGCAAAGGACCCCCCGTAATAGCTTCAAGGGTGTAATTCAGCTGAAAAATACTCCCTGCACGTTCGACTACCACAACCAAACATACGCAAAGAATTCCAACAAGGATTACGACGGAGCGCGTGATAAACCAAATCTGGCGACTTGTTAGAACATGGTCGCGAAATTTAGCTAATGGACGAACGAAATCCTCCAAGATTATGGCAGACATTGAGTTGAGGCACGTTGATAAGGTACTGAAAAGCAAAAATAATTAAATTTAGTACTATAAAAGTAACAGACAGAAGTAAAATATTAGAGACCAGAATTTTGACTTCAAAAGCCTCAAAGCCAGACAGAACGTTAAAAAATTGAAATAATTATTTAGTAAACACGCTATTTATTCAACTTAGATATGTAGAAAAAATGCAACCGCGTGCAACGTAACAGCCGTTATGTTCTTGCCCGCGAAGTAGATACTTCTGTGTGCCTCCCAGGTTACGTGCGGACGTGACGGCGCTACGTAACATTCATGGCTTTATTACGTTTTATGGTTTACTAGATAGCATTAAAGTACAAAATGGGTTCTTGATGGGTTCTTGAATTAGAAAACTTAGTTGTAAACCATTAATGTAAATAATTTGTATTTAGAATCAGGGACAAAATTGTTTTCACTTACAACCAGTCAACCACTTCTATGCTACATGTACTTGAAAATCATTATGATGAAAATAGCTTGGTGACGCGATTTTTGTCATTGGATTAAATGTTCTAGAGAAAGGCAAGTCCATGATGTAAGTGCAATTTTTTTACTTTTCTTCTACACCACCATACCACAATAATCACATATTGTATTTTTGTTTTTCATACAGGCATTACATATATGTTTCTATTAATCTTTTCAATCTAATTTATATTTCTATATATTATGGGAGTATATAAAATCGTATTTGATACACTATTAAATTATTATACATTAATCAGACTCAAACCTCTAAACTTCTTTGTTGAATTTTCTGAAGTTTTATAATTATAATTAATCATTTGAAATGATACTTCATTTATATGGTTTTTAATAATTTTTTTTTGAGTCATTAGAGTTCTAACTTGGTTGGTTCGTTTATTATATTGGCGCATTAGGCTATTACCTGATTTGCCGTTTCTTCTAACTTTCGATTTATCCATATTTGTTTACCACCCAAAAAATATTCTTACATTGATGATTTTGT